CATTCATATCATCCAGTGGTTGGATTATTGACGAACATTTCTTTTCTACATTCTTGTTCTCAGAAAATATTTAACATAACTTTAGATTAAATTTCTTTAATTCCAGGATTAGTTGCCAAAATTTGACCGAGAAGTTACTGTGTCGGCAGCTGCACAGATAGAAAACTAGAGTTAGAAATACGTATGTGTGCAGTGAAGTGCGAATGAATGGGAAGAATGAATGGTTATGTATATAATGAAACTAGTATGAATGATGTGTGAGTGTAGATAAAAAGAAAAATTACCTCACCCGTAAACAACAATTTATGTAGTATATACTATAACAAAACTGACCTTAGTATAAGTTAGTAATGCCAAAGTGCAAGTAAGTTAACTTTAGGTCTAGAATGTAAACTTAGCTGTAAGAAAAAGCCCCTCCTCTAGCTGCTTAAGCCGCAAGGCAGCAGTACAATGTACAAAATTTAAAGAGAATAAATTCCCCTTCTCCACAGGGTTACTGTGGAGGGAACAAAAGGAGGGAAATACGTATGTTAATAAAGAGAAGACGAGCGACAAAAGAGCTGTTGATAATTGCATCAATCAGCAGACATCAACAGATGTTAACTTTACGTTAGCATTTTTCCCTTCGCTTAAATCTAAGTGTAACCACATGGCTTGTGAGCCATGAGTGCAAAATAAAGTGTCAGAATTATAATTTTGCAAAATCGGACAATTCGATGTTCGATTTTCTTATCTCTTGTGTTTAAAAACTATTCCAATACCGTTCCGTTCCAACAAAATTACTTCATTGGCTAAAACGTACCAAGACAATTATTTAAATTTCATGTTAAGTATGTCAAGGAATCAACATGGGTGATATTCGTACTCTCGTTAAAAATTGTTTAGTAAAGCACCGGAGAAGAACTTTGAAAGCCCGATAGAAATTTCCTTGAACTTCAGTGATGCGCTAATACATGCAACAGATGCATTTTAGTCCGATTGAAATGCAGTGTCTATTGAAGATCCGAGCTGGAAAGAGAGGGGGACATTGTCATCTAATACGTCACGACTTAAATGTTTAGTATTGAAGCTCTCGATTGAACGGCATTGTTCCCCTTTCCTTCCAGCGAATGACCTACATTTAAATCGGAATACAGGCAGATGTTGACAAGCGTGGAACTTACGTACCATATTAGAAGTATGCTTGTATTGCAGTATCTTTTTATTTCGGTATTAAGGAACAACGAGGTCATGTCTGTATAACTGTAATAAGGGTTTATTCCATCACCCTTATCATGAACAGCAATTAAAAATGCCGCAAACAGTGAAACACAACCAAACCTACATTCCACCTGTGTCTCTTGATTGCCCCAAACGGCGCCAAAAAAAGAAAACGACGCGTACGAGGAGCGGGAGCAAAGCCATGTGGCGAGGCGCAGAAGCTTCTTTCCGGCGCCGCGGAGAGGCGGGAGCGCGCCAGCGGCGCGGCGGCGGCGGCGGCGGCAGGACCAGGAGGCGCGTTCGCCCCGCGATCGACACGTCCCGCGATAGCGATGCTCCGCCAGCGCCTCCTAATGCGAGTGAATAAATTGTCTCGACGCGCGCATCTACCATCCGCGGGCGGACGTGACTTTCGCCGCATGCATCTTCGCGGCGCAGCGCGGAGCGGCGCGGAGCGGCGGCGATGGCAGCGGCTGCTGCGGCGGCCGTGGTACTCGCCCAAGTCGAGCGTGCCTCTGGAGGCGGGAGGGCTAGCTAGCTTCGCGGAAATAACCCATTGTATGTAGTGTGAGGACCCTCGTGTGAGGAAGCCCAGAAGCACGGTGAAGCGAGAGCATTGAACAGTTGAAGCAGAAACGCCGTTATTCTATTCAGCGCTTCAACGACCGCACTGTGATAGCGTAGCATTAAACATGTATCAGCGAAAGAAAGTGCGAGGCAGTTAAAGTGCTTTACCGTGCTCAATGTCACAGCGGCGGTGACGACATGGAATATTCGCGCCTTGGGATTTTCGTTGAATATGCCACATCATGCTCGGCTGAAATGCATGAACATGTTCCCGTCACTTTTAATGAGCACCTTACAAACTTCATACGTGACGATGAGCTTCTCGAAGTTGAATTGCCGGGAAGTTTCTTTTCTTAACTTAATCGTAAATATTTTATCAGAACTCACCGGTCTTGAAAGTTCCCCACAAGATAACTGACTTATTGTCGAAACAGAATGATCTTCATTGACATTGCCGGGACGTGGTGAAGTCCGAGTTGACATGACTTCGTGGTTCGTCGTTGCGTTCTCTGCGGAAGTTCGAGAACGGGCGAGAAAAGCTCTTCGCTTCGTCGCGACTTTCCTCCAAGGTTGCACCGCGAACGCGTTCTTCTCGGATTATCTTTGCGCGCAATGTGATTCTCTCTCCTTTTTTGCTCCACGCAGATTGCGGCGCGCACTCTGTCATATTTCATCCGATAGATAACGTTTAGGGTTTGCGTTCCCGAGCGGGTCGTTGTGAGGCGCGGTTCAACTGCTGCGTTGCTCGTTACAGCCTCGTAATGATGCCTTCTCTCAGTTGGTTTGTCTGCTTGCTTGCAGCAACTGGCAACTGCTCTAAACAATTATGGAGGATTCTTTTTAATTAGAAATATACGTAAAATGTTGCTTGTCACCTGTCGTAATATTATGTAGAGGACCAGTTAAATGCATAGTAAAAAATATTTCTAACAAAATAATTGCACCCTCCCCCCAAAAAAATCTCAGCAAATTACTAAAATAAAATTAAAATTAGGTTTCTACTACACATTGATTACGGGGATTCTGTTTGACCTGCTCTAATTTTGCATATTTAGCGAAATAAAAATGTATGAAACTACTGCACCCTTATCACTTCCAGACATTTGTCATGTTTTTAAGCCATCAGGCAAAAGCTGTCGCATTAATTCTTATTTCCTGAGAATGTTCCCCTGTATTTGGATGAATGATGTAATATGTGAATTCTGCTCAGTCCATGAAATTGGGTCGAGTAGGAAGCAAAAATTGATCTTTTAACCTCATGTATTTTAGGTTAAATGAAAATACAATTGACTACGTCATAATCATACACAGTGCTCCATCAGCTTCAAGTCAACCTGTGCTTTTACATTGATATTTTCCACGAAAAAGGCTCGGCGTTTTCCAAATGTGTATCATCTCATTTGCATTTGCTTAATTTAATTAAGCTACAATTGATAATTCAAACAATGCTCTTAAAAATATCCACAGGATAATAAAATAACTTAACCTAATGATTGATGTGGTATCCTTCCGAAAATTGAAACTTTTGTTTACATGAACATATATCCCTTCCTTAGTATTTCTAAGGAAGCTAAAATCTACTGTTACTAAAGAGTTTCTACCAAACAATTTGTTAAATGGTTTTGCGAAATGACGTCCTTGCGTATTCGTAGAGTTCCATCACAAGGATAACCTCTTCGTATGTTTGATTAGTGATTCCGGGTGCGACAACTGCTAAGGTCATTAGTCCCGCAAGTGTATTGCATGTTTTCCTCGGGAGATGGCGGTGATCTTCCCCCACTTGATGGTGAAATCCGGCACCGGCCTATCCGTCGGCCAGGGGAATTTCCCTCAACCATATTTCTCCCACCAGCTGGGCGTCGCCCCGGCCGGGATAAGCTCTAAGCTCCCGACCAGTCTCCCGGCATGTGTGGTAATTTAGTACTTGTAAGTGTAAGCGTGTGTATGTAAGGGGTGAAGATAGGACAAGGAAGAGGAAGGAAAGATCGTGCGCGCGGTCCGTGGCCCGTTTGTTAGGGTACTACTCCAGCATTCGCCTGGTGTTGATCGGAGAAACCACGGAAAACTACCGATCAGTGCAAGGATTCTGGAGTAGTACCGGCCGCTAGAATTCTCCTTCAGATAGCGACTGAAATCGACCAAGCCATCTAGCTTGTGTCGATAATCACTGCCACCGTCGGGACTCGAATCTAGGACCTCCGGGTCAGAGGCACTCCAGTGACATCAGCTGATGTCCTGAGACTAATCTCTCGGTAATAACCTCTTCGTCATTAAATGGAGTGTTTTGTGTAAAGCATTCCTTATCCAATCCTAAACTCCTGGCAGTCTCGTTTCTACGCAATGGACAAAAACTACCCCTACAAAATTCTAGATTAGTAGAGAACTATATTTACTCTTCTTCTGTACTTTCAAATTAATTTTACAGCCAAACGCACTCGACTCTATCTTTGGTATTGGGAAACCTTTTCCTTTCTCGCATACTAGTATAGACACACCAACACACACATGTCGTATATAAAACTTGCATAAAACTGCCAAAAATCAGTGTCGAGATTTTAAAGAAAATGCACATTTTTAGAATTTTTGATATTGGAAATTTGTTTTCTCTTTTTCAAAATGTCTCTGTTGATTTAGAGATAAATATCCTTATAAATATAAAATTTATCCAAATTTCATTAAAACCTCTGAAATTTTGCGAAAGTTTTGTTTTCTTTCAAACCGCACGAGCTTCTACATATTTTCACTGAAACTAGTTATTTCTTATTCACTGTATCTTAAAATACTTGACCTAAAAGATTTTGTATGAACTTTTAAATAATAATAACAATAATAATAATAATAATAATAATAATAATAATAATAATAATAATAATAATGGTTTTCGCATAATT